TATATATATCGAGGCTCCCTCTTCATATATATATCGAGGCGCACCTAGAGGGTAACACTCCCCCTTCTCGTCAATGTCATAATCAGCTGAGCCGCGCCCTTCTCGCCGTGTGAACGTTTATTGCTTGTTTTCCTAGTGGCACGCGCTTTGTTTCTTTAAATTCGCATGAATATATATATATATATATATATATATATATATATATATATATATATATATATATAGCAGTATATATTTTTATCATTAATTTTTTTCCTTAATTTTACCCTGATGTGCAAGTATTTTGGGCAGCGTCACTCATCTTTTGAATGAATATACCGCTGTAGTGCAGTATTGGGTAACATTACTCATCCTCTTAGTGAACATTCTACTATAACAGCATGTGCAATACTTGTCACATGTAGCCAGACACAGTTATGTTATAACTGTCACAAATACCCATATACACTGTCGGGGTTCACCGTAAGAGGGGACGAGTAACAGTATACCCAAGGTCACTCACCGTAGCCCTGCGGGTCTTCACTCTATCCTCGCAGCGCCACTGTACGCCAGGAGAGTATCCCAGTCAATCCCAACCGGCCTCTGATCGAGAATGAGTGAGAACACAGCTTGTTCTCTTTACAGCATGTGTGCCCGCCCCGACACTAGGCTCTACTACTAACCACAAGGTCGCCAACTGGTGTTTCCCGTGTCCAGTAACACATCAGTGGTTTTGTTGAATTGTGGTAGCAGTGGCAAGAACACACTCAATAGATCTGATATCAGGCAGGTATTTATTTCTATCACTCTATTTCCTTTCATGTATTATATAGCCACAAGAAATATGGAGGGGATGATATAAACACCAAGGTTTTTTGTGTTTTACTTAAAATTATTCAAAGTATTATATCCGTATCCATCAACAGTCAAGTACACTGCAGAAATTCACTCCCTCTTCATATATATATCGAGGCACACCTAGAGGGTAACACTCCCCCTTCTCGTCAATGTCATAATCAGCTGAGCCGCGCCCTTCTCGCCGTTTGAACGTTTATTGCTTGTTTTCCTAGTGTCACGCGCTTTGTTTCTTTAAATTCGCATGAATCACTATATTTGTCATCAACACAATACTTCTATAATGGCAAATAGAACGCAATGAATCACCACACTGAACTCAAGTTCAATAACTCATTCCTACAGCACTTAACGTGATATTTCACTGTACTAGAGTAATGCACTGTACTTAATAATAATTACAATGAATGCACTTAACCATGGTACTGTTCTTAGATTCAGTAATTCCTCTCGTAGGCGATAACACAATTAATCATTGCACACATGAATGATTATTCAATACACAAGCATAGACATATATATATATATATATATATATATATATATATATATATATATATATATATATATATATATATATATATATATATATATATTTAAGGCACAACTCTCCTAAACACGAGAGTGAAGTATACAACTTTAGAACACTTTCCCACCAGGAGACTCGAACCCAAGCCAGCACAAAAGCCTTCCAGCAACTGGCATAACAGGTACGCCTTAACCCTTTTGTGGTGGAGCGGGTTAAGGTGTACCTGTTATGCCAGTTGCTGGAAGGCTTCTGTGCTGGCTAGGGTTCGAGTCTCCTGGTGGGAAAGTGTTCTAAAGTTATATATATATATATATATATATATATATATATATATATATATATATATATATATATATATATATATATATATATAGAGCACAGAAGCCTTCCAGCAACTGGCATAACAGGAACGCCTTAACCCGCTCCACCACCCGCTCAGACCCTTAAAAGAGATGGTAATTTCGGAGTATTTAAATACCCCAAAGATCAACACCTCCCAAGAGCACCAGAGCAAGTGAGGGGTCATTTATACGTTAATTTCATCAAGTCCCTGTTAATATGGGAAGACACAGTGTCTCTGCTTAAGGCACAACTCTCCTAAACACGAGAGTTAAGTATACAAATATATATATATATATATATATATATATATATATATATATATATATATATATATATATATATATATATATATATATATATGTCGTACCTAGTAGCCAGAACGCACTTCTCAGCCTACTATGCAAGGCCCGATTTGCCTAATAAGCCAAGTTTTCATGAATTAATTGTTTTTCGACTACCTAACCTAACCTAACCTAACTTTTTCTGCCACCTAACCTAACCTAACATATTAAGATAGGTTAGGTTAGGTTAGGTAGGGTTGGTTAGGTTCGGTCATATATCTACGGCAATTTTAGCTCCAATAAAAAAAAATTGACCTCGTACATAATGAAATGGGTAGCTTTATCATTTCATAAGAAAAAAATTAGAGAAAATATATTAATTCATGAAAACTTTGTTTATTAGGCAAAACGGGCCTTGCATAGTTGGCTGAGAAGTGCGTTCTGTCTACTAGGTACGACATATATATATATATATATATATATATATATATATATATATATATATATATATATATATATATATATATATATATATATATATAGTATATATATATATATGTCGTACCTAATAGCCAGAACGCACTTCTCAGCCTACTATGCAAGGCCCGATTTGCCTAATGAGCCAATTTTTCATGAATTAATTGTTTTTCGACTACCTAACCTACCTAACCTAACCTAACCTAACTTTTTCGGCTACCTAACCTAACCTAACCTATAAAGATAGGTTAGGTTAGTTTAGGTAGGGTTGGTTATGTTCGGTCATATATCTACATTAATTTTAACTCCAATAAAAAAAAATTGACCTCATACATAATGAAATGAGTAGCTTTATCTTTTCACAAGAAAAAAAAATAGAGAAAATATATTAATTCATGAAAACTTGGCTTATTAGGCAAATCGGGCCTTGCATAGTAGGCTGAGAAGTGCGTTCTGGCTACTAGGTACGACATATATATATATATATATATATATATATATATATATATATATATATATATATATATATATATATATATATATATATATATATATATATATATATATATATATAGATAAATCATAGACATCAATAATAGTAATAATATAGTTACTGGGCACGTAGCCTAACACCAAATACTGGCACATTTATATATATATATATATATATATATTCTCTCACTAAATGATCATATTAAAGTCTCGTGAACGACATTATCAACACAGTATATTCATCAATTACTCCGGGTGCCTGCACACACCAATAATAATAAATACCGTGAGTGCTCTATGTAGCCCCACTGCACACTGGTGCCTTACTGTGACATAGGTGAGCCTTGCTCACGACATACAAAATACTCTGGCTAAATAATATAGCTGACTAAAGGGGAACTGGGAGGGAAACTAGAATCACCTACTTCCACCTATCCTCCGGTGAGAGTTGAGTTGTAGCTCCTGGTCCAGGCTCCTGCCTCGTGTAGGGAACGCCCCCACACACACCCTGTCGTGTCCTCCAGGCACTCAATCAACGTCCCAAAATAAACGCGTCGTCTCCGTGTTCTGTCCTCCGCGGGTTCCTGCTCCTCCTCCACGTCTTGTAGGGTTGGAGTCGGTCTCCCGGCCGTCAACTTCTCCTCCCAACTACGGCTGCCTGCCTACGTCTCGGCTGCAGTCGTTCGGATTCCCAATTAGTGTCTTCTTTCCCTGCTTCCCAGTGGATTGGCCCAGCCGCTACGTCGTCACTGTGAAGCTATCAGACGTCCCAGACGATACTGCCTAGACTTCACCTGCACAGCACCCGACCCTGGAGCACTTGATGCTCAATATTCCGTCAATTCCCTCTTCGGTCCACACATGGAATGAAGGAAGACCTCCCGGCGTACTGGCAGACTACAGTTGACGCGTAAGATCCACGGGAGTGGCGTATTATTGCCAGATTGACAGGATCAACCTTCACACATCCGTCCACCTTGACGTGTCGTGTCAGACTGATTCCCTCCGGAGGATTGGCCCAGCCACTATGTCATCAAAGTGAAGCTATCAGATGTCCCAGACGATACTGCCTAGACTTCACCTGCACAGCACCCGATCCTGGAGCACTTGTTGCTCAGTATTCTGTCAATTCCTTCTTTGGTCCACACATGGAATGAAGGAAGACCCCACAGGTGCCGGCAGACCACGGGTGATGCGTAAATCCTCCGGAGACGGGGTAAACCGTCCAACTGACGGGACCCCCCCACAGCGCACGTCTGACCTCCTTGACGTGCTGTCTTAGACTGATGGCGCCGCCGTGGCGCTCTGACCGGACCCCCCTTCCTTCGTGACGTCATATTCGTCATGGGAAGTTTTCATTGGTTCCCTGTGCCACATCGCTGTCGGTGACCAATCTGGTGCCACTGAGGTCACACAGTTTTGGCGGCAAAACAGAGTAGCCAGCGCCATATTGGCTTCCTAAAGGGCCTATACCACAGCCCAAAATACTCTTCTTTTACAAATTTCTCGATACCTCGAGAACACTACACTCTCCCACATATATCAAACTGATGCCTGCGACGTAGAGAACGCTCGGGTAAAGTGGACATGACTCTTACAGCAGGCGTGGGAGAAATATAAGGGGGGGAACACCGTCACAACACATTTATTTTTCCTATTCTTGTGACATTTTAATCTCCAAATCTGACAACAATGATGCGCGTAAATTCTTTCTTTCACGCATCAATGTTAATTCATATATTAAAATATTTCTCGTCTGTTCTGCGTTAATTCGGTGGTATATAAAAAAAAATAAAAAAAAATAAAAAATTTTGATAGCTTCACTTATATTATTTCATTTGGTTTCTAAGTGTACCTCTGTTAATGTGTTTTGTTTTGCAAATAATTACTATTTATCGGTTACTGCTACTTCGCCTCCTCCCCCATTTGTTAATTCGGACTGACACAGTTTATAACTCAATATGATTGCCGGCAATTAGTTCTATGTAGCCTAACTGTAATAGTTTACCTCTAGTATAGAGTGATGTTGCTGTGATCTTGCACAGGGTCATCGCATCCCAGCCGGGACGATGATGATGAACAACCTGTACAGCATCCACATGGACCCGGGTTACTGGGGTGACCCGGAGACCTTCCGGCCGGAGCGCTTCATCAACGCCGACGGCTCCCTCCGCAGAGAGGAGCGCTTGATACCCTTCGGCAAAGGTAAATATTTACATTTTCCTTTAGGACACAATAATTTGCCTTGCTTGGAAGTGTATAAACTTCCCTGACATGAGTTGTTACTATACAATATATATAGGATATATATATTATTAATATAGAGCCGTACAAATATCACATCTTCATACCAGCAGGGAGGGACTAAGCTGTAGAATTCTTCTTGGAAAATATTTATGTTTTATCTATCGTTTCCCTCTGACCTTTGCATAGCTGTGTGTTTCACACTTTATCCCTCACACTACCTGTGTTGATCAGGTCGGCGAGTGTGTCTGGGAGAGTCTCTGGCCAGGATGACAACGTTTCTGCTGTTCACGGCCCTCCTGCAGCACTTCACCTTCGTCCTGGACCCCGCCGTCCCAGTCCCCAGCACGGAGGGCATATGTGGCATCACGCTCGGACCTCCAGCCTTCAAGGTCTTCGCCAAAGCCCGGTTCTAAAGACCACTGTCCAGTCTGCAGACTTCAAGGTCTTCGCCAAAGCCAAAGACCACTGTCAAGAGTTCAAGGTCAAATGAGAAGTCCACAGCCAAGTCCCCTGGTGTTATATATTCTAAAACAAATTAAATATTCATATCAAATAACGTTCAATGTGTTAAGACCTGAAAGAGGCTGTTTAGAATATCAATTTACTTACTGTCATTGGAAATGTTATTTTTACATGAAAAAGCATTGCAGTGTTAATTAAATTTAATTATTATATATTTTTAATATTTTATACCATATACCGATTTCGGTTATTTTGCAAAGAGCACATTTTTTATATGTTTATGAATTTAACTATTACATCTAATGAAACCAAATCTAATAACACTTACTTGAGCAAATATATGAGTTTTAAACATTCGCCACATTAAGCACGCACAAACAAATGCCAATCGCTTACTCCAACACACACCTTTACCAACATACAGCACTTCAAAACACACCTTTACCACAACACTGCACTTCAAAACACACTTCTACCACCATACTGCACTTCAAAACACACCTTTACCACCGTACCCAACTTCAAAACAGACCTTTACCACCATACTGCACTGCAAAACAAACCTTTACCACATTCTACACTTCAAAACAGACCTTTACCACCATACTGCACTCTAAATCACACCTTTATAACCATACTGCAGTTCAAAACATACCTTTACTACTATACTGCACTTTAAAACACACCTCTGCCACCATACTGCACTTTAAAACACATCTTTACCACCATACCACACTTCAAAACAGACCTTTACCACCATACTGCACTTTAAAACACACCTTTACCACCGTACCCAACTTCAAAACAGACCTTTACCACCATACTGCACTGCAAAACAAACCTTTACCACATACTACACTTCAAAACAGACCTTTACCACCATACTGCACTCTAAATCACAATTTTATAACCATACTGCAGTTCAAAACATACCTTTACTACTATACTGCACTTTAAAACACACCTCTGCCACCATACTGCACTTTAAAACACATCTTTACCACCATACCACACTTCAAAACAGACCTTTACCACCATACTGCACTTTAAAACACACCTTTACCACCGTACCCAACTTCAAAACAGACCTTTACCACCATACTGCACTGCAAAACAAACCTTTACCACATACTACACTTCAAAACAGACCTTTACCACCATACTGCACTCTAAATCACAATTTTATAACCATACTGCAGTTCAAAACATACCTTTACTACTATACTGCACTTTAAAACACACCTCTGCCACCATACTGCACTTTAAAACACATCTTTACCACCATACCACACTTCAAAACAGACCTTTACCACCATACTGCACTTTAAAACACACCTTTACCACCGTACCCAACTTCAAAACACACCTCTGCCACCATACTGCACTTTAAAACACATCTTTACCACCATACCACGCTTCAAAACACACCTTTACCACCATACTGCATTTCAAAACACACACTTACCACCATACCGCACTTTAAAACACACCTTTGCCACCATACTGCACTTTAAAACTCACCTTTACCACCACATTGCAGTTGAAAACAGACGTTTACCACTATACTGCACTTTAAAACCCACCTTTACCACCATACTGCACTTTAAAACTCACCTTTACTACTATACTGCACTTTAAAACACATCTTTACCACCATACCATACTTCAAAACGCACCTTTACCATCATACTGCATTTCAAAACACACACTTACCACCATACTGCACTTCAAAACACATCTTTACCACCAAACTGTACTTTAAAATACAAATTTACACTCCATACTACACTTTAAAACAAACTATTACCACCATAACGCACATTAAAACGCCAACACGGTGCTCAGGTACAACTTCAATAGACTGCTCAAATCCTCCCAGTACGTGTATGAGAAGATAGCGACATTCAAAGGATCCCTGACGAAGCTCTTTCGCTTCCAACAAGCCTCATCACCTCAAGCTTCACTTGTACTGGATGATCATAAGACCAACCCCTTATTCCCCTTGAGCCTCACTACCAAAACCAATAAGCTAAAAGTACAGCGAGTTTAAAACAAAGCTCTCTTCTTTGCGGCGAATCTGTCCCTGGCAGACAGTGAGGTCCGAACAAATTTATGGAGCCCTCAAAATGATGCAAATGAACATCGGACTCAACTGTCTAGCAAGAAAGCAGCTGTACCGTATGCAGCAGATATATGTTCCAGACCGAGAACATCCAGAAGTAGCCATCAACACAGCTAGCGACTATGAGATCCAAGAGCCACTACACAGAACCGGAATAATCCAACCTGTCCTCGTCTCAAGTCCATTACATCCAGCGGTCGACTTCACAGACACATTCATAAATTTTTACATGCTGTTCATTCAAAACGGGAATTTTCTCAAATATAAATTAATATTATAACATATTAGCATATTGTGCAATATATAGGCATAGGTTAGGTTAGTTGTTTAGGTTCTGTTAGCGATTATTTGTATTTGTAGTACGTGAGTGAAGCATTTACAGCATTGTGGTTCGAACAAAATTCATCAGTGAAGCACTTGTTCCAGAAGTGTTCGAATGAAATCAGTTGTGAGTCGCGTGTAAACCGTTTTTCATTCATAAACAGGGGGTTTGGCGTTTGCATGGAATCACTTTTGGGTCTTTGTTTGGAGGAAGGGCTGGAATAGGCTCTCCAGCAGAACTGATCAGGTTCATACACGACGATAAAATCTCGAAACCACAAATTCTGAACGGATTGCCAGAAGAGTGGGCCCTTACTGACCCAATTGACACTAAAAATAATACAAAATAAATACAAATAAACACAACAAAAACTTTTTTCTTGCAAGCAGTGTTGCTAGCCTAACGTTGTTGAGGAAAACCTTCTGTAGCCATTGCCATCGGCTCAGTATTACCCATACACCAGCTTAGACACCCACACTAATCAGCCAAGCCAACGAACATAACCATATCATTTACACCCAATACACACAAAGTAGACAAATGACCCATACATCATGCCAATCCATGTTGCACATGTCACCGAACTTTCCGTCCTCCTCGTTCCCAAACACCATCTTCTTCCAGATTTCAAATCCTCATCCTCCTTTCTTTCTTCCCCAACCTTCTCTAAGCCCTTTAAATGAGAAGGAATTAGTGGCAAAGTCTAATGAAATCGAGGAAGACGTCTGTAGGAAGCGAGAGATGAAGGTGCTCTTTCGCCTTCTGACTAAGGAAAGAAAAGATATCATCAAGAAGAAAGTTAGTAAAAAGAGAATTAACACGACTAAGCATCTTACATGAGGGCTGGAGGCGCAATCTTGGAGGCACAATATAACCATACCATTTACACCCAATTCACACAAAGTAGTGTCGGGGTTCACCACAATTAAAGGAGCGAGTAACAGTATACCCAAGGTCACTCACCGTAGCCCTGCGGGTCTTCACTCTATCCTCGCGGCGCCACTGTACGCCAGGAGAGTATGTATCCCAGTCAATCCCAACCGGCCTCTGATCGAGAATGAGTGAGAACACAGCTTGTTCTCTTCACAGCTGTGTGCCCGCCCCGACACTAGGCTCTACTACTAACCACAAGGTCGCCAACTGGTGTTTCCCGTGTCCAGTAACACATCAGTGGTTTTGTTGAATTGTGGTAGCAGTGGCAAGAACACACTCAATAGATCTGATATCAGGCAGGTATTTATTTCTATCACTCTATTTCCTTTCATGTATTATATAGCCACAAGAAATATGGAGGGGATGATATAAACACCAAGGTATTTTGTATTTTACTAAAAACTCAAGACATCACATAATTATATCAATAAGCAAACAACTGTTTCATGCGGAAGTCGCTCGTTCTCACAAATAATCACGAACTCGCCAAGCTGGCAATGCTCCCCCTCACGTCAATGTCAAAATCAGCTGGGCGACTCCCACCGCGCGAATCTTCGTTTATTTGTTTGCCTGGCGTGAGGCGCCTGTTTCTTTAAATTCTCAAGGATCATTAAATGTTCAAACAACACAATATCAATAGCACGTAAATACTTTGCTGCACTGATCTTGAGCTCAATCAAACATTTCAATATTAATGGACACAATAATTCACAATCGTGGTATAACACACTGCCCTTCATTTAATGATAACGTATGCAAGCATATATCACTGGAGTTCTCAGTAATTTCTTTCGTGGGCGAATATTCAATTGATCACTGTACACGTGAATGGTTATTCAATACACAAGCATCGACATATATATATATATATATATATATATATATATATATATATATATATATATATATATATATATTAGTATATTTTGGTAGCAGTCTTTCCTGTAGACATATTTTATTAAATATGACCGAAAAAGTAAGATTAATAATTCTAACACGAATTTACCAATAGGTTTGTAGAATGGACCAATAGGCTTTCTACAAACACTTCTATTCAATATCCATTGTTTCGTGTTCTGTCTTGTGTTGATACTTTTAATACCCTATTAATATCCTCTAATGCCACATCATCCTTCCCACCTCACTCAAATGTAATGCCACATCACCCTTCCCACCTCACTCAAATGTAGATATAAAATCAGGGAAACGCAAGTTCTAATCAGTTGTGTATTTGTGAAGTCTTTGAAAATGTAATAAGTTTTACGAAACGCGCCCGTGTCGCGTCAGACTAGAAATAAAAATGAATTTTGGAGAAGTGATTTTTGATTTACCTCCAACAGTGAAGCATAATGTACGAAAGATTGAGAAAATTCGTGTTAGAATTATTAATCTTACTTTTTCGGTCATATTTAATAAAATATATATATATATATATATATATATATATATATATATATATATATATATATATATATATATATATATATATATATATATATATATAGATAAATCATAGATATCAATAATGGTAATAATGTGGTTACTGGGCACATAGCCTAACACCAAATACTGGTACATTTATATATATATATATATTCTCTCACTAAATGATCATATTAAAGTCTCATGAAAGACATTATCAACACAGTAAATTCATCAATTACTCCCGGTGCCTACACAGACCAATAATAATCATAAATATCGTGAGTGCTCTATGTAGCCCCACTCTGTACACTGGTGCCTTACTGTGACATGGGTGAGCCTTGCTCACGACATACAAAATACTCTGGCTAAATAATATAGCTAACTAATAGGGGAATTGGGAGGGAAACTAG